ATCATGACAGTATCATCTAATAACATATATTTTATATAAAATAGGAAGGATATACTGGCCTCAATTGGCAATATAGCTGTCATTGGATACAGTCTTCCAAGAAAAGATACAGTAGATTAGTCTTGTATCCAAATATTCATTTACACACCCAACACTTAAACACTACTGTAAGCCAGGCCTCAGCTCAATACTAAAAAACAAGGACCGGTGCTCTCATAGGGAGGAATAGGAGGGGAAGAAGTATAGATGGAGAAAGAGACATCAACCAATGTGATTTTAAAAAGTAAACACAGAAAGCCAATAACAGGTCAAGAAAGAGGGGGCAGAAGAAAAAGCATTTGTAAAATGATAGGAGGATTTGGTGACTCAAGTAAATCATCAAACTTATGCCAAGGAGCACAAGCACCTGAAATGGGCTGGAGAGGTCATGGTAGGGCATCAGTGAGGGCCTTCCTGTCTTGCTGAAGCTTTCAGTTTGTTGGAATGGCACACGGAAGGATTGCACCGGTGTGTGGGGAGAGTTGTACATTTTTCTGTAAACCCTTCTGCTTGACACCGTGAGGTGAGCTGTCCAAGGGAAAATTAGGAACCCAAAGGTCAATCAGGAGGTGCCTGCATGAGTCATTGCAGTAGAGTAAGCAGCAGCAGTGGAGATAAGCGGAGGACCAGCTTGCTGCAAAGACCTGAGGGCCAGGAGATCCACAAGTCTGGATTGGATGTAGGGAGTGAAGAAACGGCTTGTGCTACTCAACTCTATGATGTTTCTGTAGAGATGAGATAGGAAATCTCCACTTTTACTCCAGGTTGGGTGTACAAGGATTGGGAAATTTAATGTAATAGTTTTACTTATTTAAATATATTTTTAATTTATTAATTCTATTTCACACAATATGCTTTTGATCATATTCGTGGCCCTCCCCCACATCCTCCCAGATCTTCTTCATCTCCCTACTCACTCAACTTCAAGTTCTCTCTCTCTCTCTCTCTCTCTCTCTCTCTCTCTCTCTCTCTCTCTCTCTCTCTCGTTTTTTTGAGACAGGGTTTCTTTGTGGCTTTTGGAGGTTGTCCTGGAACTAGCTCTTGTAGACCAGGCTGGCCTCGAACTCACAAAGACCCACCTGCCTCTGCCTCCCAAGTGCTGGGATTAAAGGTATGTACCACCAATGCCCGGCTAAGTTTTTTGCTCCAAAACAATACAGAGAAACCCTGTCTCAAAAAGCCAAAAAAAATAATAAAATAAAATAAAACTAAATAAAAAATAAAACAGGAAAAATAACAAAAAAATGAAAATCTAAGCAGGTAACACAATGAATACAGTAATAGTTAAAGACAAGACTTGCTAGAAGTACCTTTGAGTCTTCTGTTACTTAATCTTAGAATTACTATAACATTTAATAACAACGTGGAATAGAATTATTTTCTACTTCTGCCTTTTATTAAACTGTGACTTCATAGCCAAAGCAGCTAATCTCTCTGTAAAGTACCTTTTGACATGAAGAGTTACAAGCTCATTTGTAGTTGTAATAATTTGTTAAACTTGTTTAGGGATCTTGGGAATAGTGAAATGGTAACAGTGGTTAACTGTATGCTTAAAAAGAAGAACCTAGATTCTTTCTTTGTTTTGTTTTATTTGTCAATGCTGTTCCGTAAGAATAAAATTTAGCCATACAGTCTTGCTGTACAGCAGTGTAAACTGTCTAGTTTTAATAAAGATGATATTATCAGTCTACAGATTTTCCTGTAAAAGCAATTCACTATATTTATAGGTCTTAAAAGATATTAATGCTCTGATACTAAGTTAACAGAGGAATAGACTGGACAGATAGACAGCCAATATTTTATAGTAACCTAAATAAAAGAATTATGATTTTATAATATATAGAGGTTAACATGTGGTTTTGGTGCCAAACGCAGGTTCCATTGCCTAGTAAGTAAATGACCATAGGTAAATTTCCTGTTCTCTCTAAGCTTTAGCTTTCTTTCTTGATACTTTTTTAAAATCTTCCTTTCTTCTTAGAATATTTGTAACAGTTAAGTGACAGAATGTACAATACAACTGAACTCAGCATTCGATACTCCAAAAGAACTGATATAGAGGAGAAGCAATATCTTAAGCAGATCCAGTCAATAAGATTTCATTAAATTTCTTAATTGGGCTGTCATAATGGTTTTGATATTTTAGGTGTGAGCATATTACCCTTAAAGCTTGGCGTCTTTATTTAGGTGACATTTGGTTAAAGGGTAACTGAATTACACCTCGGGACAGTGCCTTCTAGTTCTGTGACTTGAATCTGTGGGAATAAATGAAACACCTTCCATTCATGTACTAATGAAAACATCATACGATAACATTAGTCTTCTCAATAACACATTTATCACTAAATATGGTTTTCTCCAATTGAATAAAGAGACCTTTGGCATACAGATAAGCAAGAAAAGATTTCTTTACTGTATATTTCTTTAGCCTGTACATCCACAGAGATCAGAGTTTCAAGTCATGTGTCTTCCTTTATTGCTGTGTACCTTATTTCTTTGGAGACAGTGTCTCCCACTGAACCTGGAGCTCCTGGATTCTTCTAGATGGACCAGCCAGGCAAGCCCATGAGATACCCCTTTCTCTGCTTCCCAGCACCAAGTTTACAGTTATGCACCACTATGCCCAGCTTTTTACATGAATGCTGAGGATCCAAACTCAGGTCCTCCTTTTTATGCAACAAGCACTTCCTCCCCCCCAAAAAACATGTGGGGGTTTTTTGTTGTTGTTAGTTTGGTTTGGGTTGGGTTTTTTGTTTGTTGGTTGGTTGGTTTGGTTTGGTTTGGTTTGGGGTTTTTTTGTTTGTTGGTTGGTTTGGTTTGGCTTTTTGCTACAAGGAAAAAGTAAACCAGATGAGAGCTAGAATAAAGTTGGTATTGCCCATCCTGGATCTCCTGTTAGTTTCTACTCCCCTTTCACTAGACCGTGTTTCTCCACCCTCTGACAAACTTAAGAGTCACAGAAATATTGAGTGCATTCCCTATACACGCCATGTTAATGAATATCATGTGCTTTGTCAGTCTCAAGACCTGAAGACTTCTGTCCATTTTTGCATAGAGAAGCTAATGTGAGAAGCCCTCATATTGAGTGGAAGACCAGATTCTTTGAGTTGCTACAGGTTAGACCTGTTATGGCTCAACATGTGCAGATATGAAAATCCATTAAAGTGAATGAAACTGGAGAGCTTATTATGTAACATCGTCTACTTCTGACACCTTAATTAAAGCCACCATCACCCTTTACCCTGAGCTTGTCACTAGCCACCTCCTCTCTCTTATTAATGACCTCCATTTGTCATACAGAGACCAGAAAGACCAGGCCATGCCACTCCTTTACAGACAAGTGCCGTTGTGCCCAGCAAACTCCCACAGAATGTCCTAGAATCAGATTCCCCCAAAAACTACTCTATCCTTTCCTGACAATGTTCCTTATCTTTGTAGGACACAATCTCTGTCCCCTTGGAGCTTTTTGCTAGCTGTCCCCTCCACCTGGCAAACCCCTTCCCACCACAAAACTCCCATGGGAAACTTCTGATATTTAGATTAAATTTAAATCCTATCTCATCTCTTTACATATGCCTTTCCTGACCAGTGACTCTGTCTCTGTATATCTGAGACAGGGTTTTTCTGTGTATCCCTGATAGGGCTGGAGAGATGGCTCAGAGGTTAAGAGCACTGGCTGCTCTTCCAGAGGTCCTGAGTTCAATTCCCAGCAACCACATGGTGACTCACAACCATCTGTAATGGGTTCTGGTGCCCTCTTCTGGCTTTCAGTGTAGCACTGGCTGTCCCAAAACTCACTCCGTAGACCAGGCTGGCCTTGAACTCACCGAGATCCACCTGCCTCTCTCTGCTTTCTGAGTGCTGTGATTAAAGGTGTGCACCACGACCACCTGGTGTGATAACTGTGTATTGTTAATGAGTACATTTTCAGTTTAAGATATAAAACATTCATAAATGTGTTTGAGATATACTCATTTGAAAAACATTTGCAATGTATACTAACATTAATCAAAGCATTAAAAAATCCTTCAATCTCAGCATTGCTTAGTATTTTCCTGCAGAGTCTGTCCTGCGCTGCAGCTTAGCCTCATACTGTGACCTGTTTTAATGAAATTATGACCTTTGCATGGACAATATCCATCTCATGGAAGTGACAGGTACACCCTATCCATCAGTCTTATCCAAGTAGAAAAAAATGTAAGACTTCTATAAGCACCCTACAAAGAGTGTCCCCAAACCTTAATTCTTCAGACTAATGGGAAGCCAAAAAGTAAAATGGATGGAATGTGCTGTTTCAAATACAGAGGTATTGGGACTGAAAGTATATGTCAAGTGTTAGAGCATTTACCTAATATACTAGAAGCCCTGGGTTCAACCCCGCAGAACCACCAAAAACACAAAAAGTAATGAACTGAATTGAATACTCAAAAACAAATCTCCAAGTAACTAAAAAATTTGTGAATCAGAATAGATATTCCTGGGACCACAGCCACCCTCCCAAGTGAATCCAAACGTGTAGTCCTTAGATGTAATCAAGCTTACCTCGTATAATTGAACAGGTTTAGCATTTGCTTCCGTGATACACAGCCTAGCAAGGGTACTCTGACTCTGCTTAATTGCTGCATTTACATGTGTTAGGACCTTCTGTAATTTACAGTAAGTGGTCATGTGCCTATGTGTTAAATCTCTTAGGAAGTACAAACATACCACCTGCTCAGAACATTTTATGGAAAAATAATCTATTTTGCTGTGACAGGCATATATATAAGGCTAATTATAATTTTGAGGTAATTTCATGATGTGATATTCAATATAAAGAGCAAACTCGTTTATCATCTATCTGTGCTCCCTCAGTTTTCCCATGTGAGACTCTTTTGAGAAAAATTTTTTCCAGCTGTTTTTTTTTCAGACTAGCTGTTATTGTTATCCCTCTGACAAAAACTGTTTCTGCTTGCCTATTTCAGCACTTTTGTGTAATGGGAAATTTCACAAACACTTGCAAGAGATCTTTGTGCCCTTGGTTGTCCGCTACGTTGACCTGATGGAGTCTGCCATCGCCCAGTCGATTCACAGAGGTTTTGAGCAGGAGACATGGCAGCCTGTCAAGTAGGTACCGTGGTGTCTGCAGAGCACCTGTCTCAGTCCTGACCTTATGACTTTACCTACAGTCATCTGTGGTCATTGCTTATGGTACTCCCTTCCCACGTTGTTTGTTTCTTTACAGGAATATCGCCAACAGTCTTCCCAATGTAGCTCTTCCAAAAGTTCCAAGTCTGCCTCTTAATCTTCCACAGATTCCTAGCTTTTCTACTCCTCCGTGGATGGCTTCTTTATATGAGTCCACGTGTGTATCCCTCACTTACTTCCTGGTGTTGTGTTAGCTAGTGCATGGCCTGGGCTGTCTTCTGTGCAGATGTGTTCAGAGTGCATGGCATTTACCATTGTTGGTTGAGGTGTACTGTCTTGGCTTTATTCGTTTGAGTGTTTCAAGCTATTAAGCTGAGCTTAGCATATTGATGATAAATGCTAGAGGTTGGAAGAAAGAAATCACATAGGTTTTATGTTGTTCATGTCTATTCTGTATGGCAGATGTCAATTTTTAAAATCCCAGGTTATAGAGTCTGTCCTTTAAGTAGTAGGATTCTAAATTTCCCATGTTGATAATTATGGTAAATTCAAGGATGCTTAAATTCATTTTTCTTACTGCCCATATCATTGACATTGTACACAAAGAAAACCATCAGGAGAGGATTTCACTATCATCCTGTTTGCTTTTATCTTAGTGCTAACATTAAAGAAGCAGAATTAGACCTTGCAGGGAAGTGCCAGGATGTTCTTCTGTTGTTCCATTCCTCATTCAGTTGATGTACCTTGAAATTGTAAGGTAGTCTTGTTACCATTAAACATCGTATTTATTTCCTTTAAGTTGTGGTGAACCTGCCTACTACAGACTAAGTAAGGGCCATTATGGGAAAGAGCTCTAAAATTGAGTATGTCTCACCTTAAATCTTAACTTACAGATCATAAATCTTTCTTAGCCTCACTTTCATCAATTTGAAAATGGTTGGTTCCTAATTTAAAGATAGTTTTTTCGGGGGCAACAACACTGTATAAAAGTGTCTGACACGTCCTAAGCTTTCTACAAATAATTACTACTACTGGAACATGCCAAGTATCCAATAAAGGGTAATTACTACTCTGTATTATCATTGTTGCTGACAATCCCATCATTATTATTTATTGTTTTGCTCTTATGAAAAGTCAGAGCCTTATAGCAATCTACTGAAGTTACACACTTAGTTTATAATTATAAAAACACAATAAAGTCTTTTGCCTAGGTTCTTATATGAATTCAGTTAGCACAAATATCAGATGAAAATTACAGAGAATGTATCCATGTATTCGGAATTTGCAGTGTTCTAGGTACAGTGCCAAGTTCTTTATCTCATTTTGTCCTTATAACAACTCTGAAGGTAAATGTCTCTATCGATAGGCAAATTGTAGGTGATTAATAGGCAAATTGTAAGTGATAGGCAAATTGTAAGTGACAGGCATAAACTTGAACCCTCGCTGGCTAGCCCTCAAAATCCTTCGCACACTTCACTTTTGATTCTGCTCCAGTAGAACAGACTGCTGCTCAACAACCTCACTAGCTTTGTACCCACCTTCCACCATCTAATTTACTCTGCCATTTAGGTATACAATCAAGAACACAAACAGAAAGAGACCAAGAAAGAAAGCAATAACTTGTGAAAAAGTTTGCCAGCTTTCTCCCAAGCTAAACATCATTAGTGGACTGGTAACATGACTGGGATACAGTCTTGCATGTCAAACTTTTTCTTAGAGTTAGATGCTTTGTGCCATTGGAATGTGTAGAGTAGTTTTTGTGTATGTTCAGAAATTACCTTTGCAGTATAAGAAACCTTTCTAAAGTTTGGTCTCTATACTCGTGTATAATTTTACTTCTCTTCTTCCTCCTTCTCCATCTACATTTTACTTGGACAGTGTTGTGGATATTATCCTGTATAATTTATTTTCTTATTGCTATTCTGTTAGCTTGCAGATTTGTGTAAAACCTGAGCCCTTTTTGTCGTTGTTGTTGCTTTGGGACCATTTGCAAAGTGATGTAAATCTCAAGACAGGAATCATGATAAGTGGGTAATGATGCCTTCATTGTCATAGGCAAATAAGAAATGTCCTCTATAAGTTGATCACCATGATTATTAGGTTTTTTGTTGTCATAGTGACCATGATTATTCATAATGTTATGATGTCATTGCAGTTGGCATTTTAAATTGGTGTACGTTTATTGTACAAGATGATGGGTTTCATTATGAAAGTCTCACACATATGTATCATGTACTTTGCTCTGATTCATGTCTCCTCCTCTCCTAGTTGTCCCCTTTCTGTTCCCAAATAATTTCCCCCTTCTACTATCAGGACTTTATGGCTTTTTACATCTACATCCAGAGTATTGGCGATGCCATGTGGTACGTGTCTTTCTGAGCCTGGCTTACTTCACCTAGAATACTGGTCTCCATTTATATTCATTTTCCTACTGTGTAATTCAGTTTTTGATATTTTGTTATAAAACATTGAGGAGCAAGAAACATTTCCACTTTGTGTTAAAATTAAAGATTTGACTACTGGTAGAGTGACAAAGTACATAAAGTAACTAGATTAAGGTGATATGTTGGTAAGAGCAAGCCTCAAATGTAGGCCCTACATTTGATTCAAACACCATAAATAAAAAAGGTGGCTTTGGCCAGGTGGTGGTGGCTCACGCTTTTAATCCCAGCACTCAGGAGGCAGAGGCAGGTGGATCTCTGTGAGTTTGAGACCAAGCCTGGTCTACCGAGCGAGTTCCAGGACAGGCTCCAAAACAATACAAAGAAACTGTGTCTCGAGAAAACAACAACAACAACAAAAAAAGCCTTTGACAAAGTTGCACAGGGTGGCATTGCAGCCCCTAGCTGATGTGTAGCAATCATCAATAGTGGCCATCATTGGTAGCTTCTTGGGCACAGGAACAGAGACAATGCCAGTGCCTCTTGGGACAGGGATGGGCAGGGATTAGCTGCACAACACAGAACACTGGACAGTATAGTATTCTTCCCCAAGTAATCCCACTGCACAGAGACAATGGAAAGCTTGGCCAAGATGATGGCCCTTTGGTGCACTTAACAACACTAAGACCAACATGACCACTATAGTCTCTGATCGCAAAAAAAAATCCTTGAACCTGGTCCTCTGGAGCTGGAGTCTGCTTCTGCACTGGCATGATCCTTAGAACATCATCCTTTAGGGATCCACCCAGAAGAAAATTTAATCGGCAGTCCACCTTGGTGATGGGTATGTGTCAGCTTTACCTCTATGAGCCTCGCAGCTTCCACCATGGCCCCAACCTGGACCATGACCAGGGCCCCTTAAGACCACTGAGGAACAACCCTCCACAGGGGCTGTTGCATCCTCCCAACCCGAGTCTAGCTGCACAGGCATCATCTGCCATTTGTTTTCCCAGAGAAGAAAGCTCCTAATTTTTTAAAAGAAAGAAAGATCCAGATGATTCCTCCCCACCTCCTCTATGTGAATAGAGTTATCATTTGGGAAGGGATGGCAGTACAAATGAATGTCATTAAGCTAAATCTGTACTGACTTAGGGGATTACATTTCAGTTGTTTAATCTGTAAATAATGTTTTTAGGACTAGGTCACTGATTAGAAATAATTTAAAATGAAAAGTCTGAATAAATTACAGGTTATCTGTATCAAATCTAAAGAAAACCTATTTATATTTTTTCATCGATTTAATTATAACAAACACTTATTAGACCAATTAAATTCCCAATTAAGCACATTTATTGTCTCTAATTTTAACAGAGAAGTAGTCAGAAAAAAACATATTTGTGTCTTTATAAAGTATAACTCACATTTGTGTAAAAAAATTTAATGGCATTGCCTTGGCTATGAAATTTTTGTTTTGATGATAATTTTTCTGGTGGTATATTGCTAAAGCGTGCATGTTTCTAATGTTATATCCCTCCAAAATTTATAAAGCCAATTTGCCACTCACCAAGTACATCCAACTGAAACACAAATCTTCTAACTGTACCCTAAGGATATATGGGGGCGGGGGCTGCCTGGCCTTTTATTCTTCTCGTGTCTTTCTTGGACATGTGATACATGTAAAGCGAGTATTATTGTCTTACACATTTTTCACAGCAGTGTCAGTACAGCCTTGTCAGACCTTTATTGATGCTGCATTCAGCACACATTAAGGTGCAGAGACAATCAGGCAGTAAAATTCTGTGCCTCCTATTCAGTTTTGCCATGATTGGTCCCTTGAGAACTTAACTCCAAAGACACTTGGCTAGACCAGGAGATCCTGAGAAAATCCTGGCAGAATGGAGAGGGATAGCAACTTAAATTGGAGATAGAGCTGAGACACTGAGGCCAGGGTGCAGGGCAGAAACCAAGCTTTTAATTAGCCAGGGCAAGGGTGATTTTTCTAAAGCTCGCTAATTAAGATATATTTAGCTAAACATTGTGGTTGTTTAAAATCATTTGTTTTAAAGTTTCCAGTGCACCCTTGTAGTAAATGGGTTTTATTTATTTCATTTTGTATTGAAGAGTAAGAATATAAATTTTGTGGGGCAATTGTTAGAACACTGAGAACAAATAAGTCAGCTATTTTCTCAAGTTTTTTATTTTCTTTTTACTTCTGCTTTGTTCTGATTTTGTGATTGAATCACAATGTGGTCTAACGTAGGAATATTTTGCTTTCAAAATCTGCCATCCTATTAACTGGATGCTTGCCTCATCGAAAGTAGTAATGGTATCAGTTGTTCAAATAGCATATGAACTCTGCTGCAGACTACCTTCATACATGGTGTGAAAATGCCATTTCCTAGAGTGATTTTTCTTGCCCTCGCGAATGCTGGCTAAGTCGTGCATAAAGCTGGAAATGCATGATTGTGCTTCATCTCCACATACCGACCCTGTGTTAGACCATTGCTGCAATGTTAGATTTCAGTGGTGAGCTATAAGCAGCACAAAGCAGTTCAAATGGGAAGTAAAGGTTTGCTTTCCTACCTAGCCTATTATTTCCTGTGTGCTCCACTCGTGTAGACAGAAGCCACAGTGACAATGGACGCATAGATGCATGGATGACAGTAAGGTACTGCTAGGTGTGAGCATATAAATTTTCTTGTACAAAACACATGTTCACCAGGCAGTGGTGGTACATGCTTTTAATCCCAGCATTCAGGAGGCAGAAGCAGATGGATCTCTGTGAGTTCAAGGTCAGTGTGGTCTACAAAGCTACACAGAGAAACCCTGTCTCAGGGGAAAAAAAGCCAAAACACTTTTCAAATCTTTAAGATAAGTTCATGTATTCATCACTATCTTAGAAACTAGTAAAGAGTGATTAAAATGTTCATCCTTCTATGCACAACTTGATTTCTGTCTTTGGTCTCTGTACCCACGTTAGTCCTCTTTGCAAAAACTCACAGCCACATTTATTTCTTTTATATTCTTTTTGCCTTGCCTCATTAAGAATTGAAAGGAGGACTTAGAAAGCTAGCAAAAGAGAACACTGGATCATGAGAGAGTGTATGGGGTACATTCTCCACTGATGGCAATAACACAGAAAGAAAAATCAATCGATGGGTGGTCCACGTTGTTAACAGTGAAGGTTCACGATCCTCTCATTTTTTTCCTCTTTTTTTCTAGCAATGGCTCAACAACATCTGAAGATCTGTTTTGGAAACTTGATGCACTGCAAATGTTTGTCTATGACCTACATTGGCCAGAACAAGAATTTGCCCACCACTTAGAGCAAAGACTTAAACTTATGGCCAGTGATATGATAGAGGCCTGTGTCAAAAGGTAGATGTGTATTTCAAGTTGCTGCTTGGTATGCCAGCACCTGTAATGCCACTTTTTACCAAGTACTTGTTACTTAATTGTCACAGGGAACAACTGAGTATGGACCACTGTTTCAAAATATACTGGACATTCTCTTATTTTAGTTGTGGGAAGCCAGGCCGTTGATGAACTTAATCTGATGATACTGTTTTCAGGTCTCCCGTCCCTTTGTCTAATCAGTAGCACCTACACCATATTAATCACATCTACCATGATTGTCTCTCTGGGAGTACTGTGCTTTATATTCCCAAAATAGCATCTCCTGAGACATACAGAAACAGTCTATTGAGTTCTTATGCCTTATGTATGGTGTCTGTGTGCCGTGAAGTGGCCTGATAAGCTCAAGATAACAATTAGCACCACTTCTAGTTCCAAGGTTACTCTCTGCTTTCTGGAATTTGCTAGTTGCATCAGACATTCCTCCGCACTTAACCAGAAATAAGTTAAAGACTTCGGAGACGTGTAAATATACTTTCATTTCTAAACAGTTCTCACAAAGTCAGCATTGTATGCTAATAGGTCAAATGTCCCCAGCTCCTATGCTAATGATGTGTTTATATGTGTCTGTGATCTGTGGGAGAGTACACCTGAGTAACAGTCAAATATTAGTTGGAACAACTGAGCACCCCTAAGCACATTGAGCCAAGAAAGTTCAGTTCTTAGAATAATGTGAATGTCCCTCCTATGGCAAGATTGTCATCTGGGTTATTTGAGTTTTAAGACTCAGCTGTGAGTTTCAAGTCTCAACTATGTAGGTCAAATTATGGTGGTGGGGGTTCTGTAACAAAGACAAATCTAACTTACCTGTCTTACAATTTTTACCTCCAACTTCAAGCATCTAAGAGACTATTTAAATGACATAAAAGAATTGTGGTTTTCTTTGGTGTATTACAATTTTTCAGCTTTCCGGGCTGGAACCTGTTTGTTTTGTTTTTGTTTTGTTCTGCTCTGATACACAGGATGCCCTCTACTTGAATGCAGAAAGGACATGTGGTTTTTCTGCTTGGATATGACCTTAGGCAATCAGTAAAATGATAATTTTCCCCATTAAATATGGTACATCAGACATAACAAAAAGCTTCCTTTGGGTGTCTGTATTGTCTTGAGTGGCTGCATAGAGCTAGCACTCAAAATGCTACCTGGTGAAGAACACTTAAATTGTGTTCTTCTATGGAAACATTACAGCCCAACCTTTATTTGAGACACCTGCCCAGAACATCCCACCAGGTCCCAACCCCCACTCCCTAGCTCCACCATGTCACTCACTCTGTATCTGCATGTGTTATATTATTATCTTGTCATATTGATTTCACTTTTACAAATGAGTGGGATGTGTGTCAGGATGTCTTACTCTAATTCATGTTTTAATAACTAGAACAAGAACTGCATTTGAACTCAAGCTGCAAAAGGCAAACAAAACAACTGACTTGCGCATCCCAGCTTCCGTGTGCACCATGTTTAATGTACTAGTTGATGCTAAAAAGCAAAGCACAAAGCTGTGTGCCCTGGATGGCGGACAGGAGGTAAGTCCTAGGGAACAGTAGTGCAGCAGGGAGGGTTCTCGCCTTTTGTGTGTAAACCTGCCATAACTTCCCAAGTGGCCTTTAATTTCCCACATACCATTTTGGTGCTGACTATTTCCATAAACCTTGCTTGTTACAACCAAATGAGAAAGCTAAACACATGTCTACTTTGTTTAGACAAATTTAGAAGACTAAGAGTTTGCATCCATAAAAGCAAGTCACAAAAATTATAGCATATGAAAAACCTTTATTTATACAAAAGTTTCCTTTTTTAAGGATCAAGTAGACACTGGCTCTTACTGGGGCCAAGTGAGAAAATAGTAGAATTGAAAATGCTACAAGTTGTCCTTTGACCTCTACAAAATGCCAAGAACCCACCCCACCTCTGCCTCCACAAATATGCAAACAAAATCAATTAAAATGCAATTTAAATTTTAATAAAAAATGCTAGTTCTCATTAATAAAAATTTCATCATTTCACTTTTAATTTTTTGTTCATTTTAAACTATTTTAAAAACGGCAACATGATCTTACTTCATGATTTGTTTTTGTTGAAAGTGATGATTGTGTAGATTTCTATGTTTACATTGACATTTTATGTCCTTTTCTATTACCCTTTTCATCATCTTTTTGTTCTTCCCTATGTTCTCCTTCATCATTATTTCATTTTTCCTCCATCACATGATCCAGTTTAGGAGTCAATGGGTAAGTCTCTCATTTTGTTTTGTTTTGGTTTGGATTTTTGTACATTTGGGGGGTGGTTGTTTGTTTTCAGAAAAGCTCATCTTCACTTTAGAATTATGTATTTTTGTTTTCACTTTTTACGAATTAAAGTAATATTCTATTTTCTAGAGGTTTTTTTTAGGCGCGCGCGTGTGTGTGTATACACAAAGTTATACTTTAAAGGATGTCAAACAGGAACTTTTTCTCTTAAGCTACAGAATCTATAAACTACTCTTACATTTTTAAAAGATAAAATTATTTAAAGTCAAATGAATTCATCATCCTTTAATCAAAAGTCTAAATAAATATAGAGGGAAGTGACAATATTTTCAAGTGTGTAGGTACAATTTATACTTCCTGCAGAATATAGAGTTGGAGCTTTAGGTAACAATGAAGGCTATTTCAGGATAATTCCTGAGTATTTGTATCAGGAGGCTATGCCCATGCACAAGGTCACTTCATACTGAAGAATACAAATGTTGATTTCAGTGACACACTGTCCCCCAATGACCTGGAATATAAGTATCAGCCTCCACTGGTAGGGAGGAAACAGCTACTGTCACACATAAAAGATTGTCCTACAGTATTATCTGAACCTTGGAGGTGCAGGCCCTCTCATTTACATGCATACATGATGGAGGAGGCTGCACTCTGTTGTTACCATTATTCAATATTTTTCTTCAGTGGCCATATTCATTCTTATAAGTCACTCTGCTAAACCTGAAGACCAAATAGCAGGACCTTACTTAGCTATCAATTTTACCAGGGCTTGGTTAACTGCAAAGGAAGCTAAAAAGACCTAATATGTGAGCTTCATTCTTATTTAATGCAGGTATACATATTAACATTTGTACTTCATTTCTATTCATTTATATATGCTCATATTTTTATATGTGTAATTTAGGGAGAAAACATATTTCTAATAGCATCATAAAGTCATACAAATACATATGTAAGTAACTGATCTTCCAGTGTTACAGAATGTTCAGTAATTATCATTGTCTGATCACATACAACATGATTTATTATCTCTAATTATCCAAATGAGTAAGCAGCTGGCTTGGATGTCAATGGCCCCCTAATCACTTCTTCATATAGTTCAATACCCAGATGTAAACCTTTGACTGTCTGTCTGAGAATATTATCTTAAGTAGCTTCATAAACCCTTTCTTGTCTCATCTAGATTATGGAGTCGTCTTCCCACAAATACTGGGTGAATATATTCGTTCTTATTTTAGTATGTACATAGTATTTGACAGCATACCAGGCACTTAGCATATATGTGTTGAGTAAATGAACAGGCTGATTTATTGTCACTGCTTTAAAATTCTAACAATTTACTCTAGTATTTAAAAAGAGAAATAGTCACTGCACACACAAACAGTCACATGGCCAAATGATTCTTTACATACATTAAGAAGCGAGTCGTTTTGAAGAGTAATCTGCTACTGTTCATTATGTCTGCACCTGTACCTTCTCACTAGAGACAATTAGTCCCCTACAACTTTCACACAACTAATGTAGTTCAAAATGTGCAGGTGTAAAACCTATTAGCAGCCCTGAAAAGTGGTTAACAAGTGCAAAAGAAAAGGATCATATATGTTACTTTTAGTCTCCAATAAATACACTTACATAATTGTTCATAATGGTTCCTCCCTCCATCAGGTGCTCTCTCTCTCTCTCTCTCTCTCTCTCTCCCTCTCCCTCTCCCTCTCTCTCTCTCTCTCTCTCTCCTCTCCCTCTCCCTCTCCCCTCCCTCCCTCTCCCTCTCCCTCTCCCTCTCCCTCTCCTCTCCCTCTCCCTCTCTCCCTCTCCCCCTCCCCCTCCCTCCCTCCCCCTCCCCCTCCCCCTCCCCTCTCCCCTCTCCCTCTCCCCCTCCCCCTCCCTCTCCCTCTCCCTCCTCCCTCCCCTCCCCCTCCCTCTCCCTCTCCCTCTCCCTCTCCCTCTCCCTCTCCCTCTCCTCTCCTCTCCCTCTCCCTCTCCCTCTCCCTCTCCCTCTCTCTTCCCATGCCAGGTTTTGAATTTGTTATTTTAGAAAGAAACAAAGTTCCTGACAAAACTAGATTAATGGACAATTCAGAACCATGTAAAGCACATTCTACCTAGTTAAACCTAGCAGAAATAAAGCTACCTCACTGAGCTCTGTGATACTTTATTACTAATATATCGTCATTGATGAACGTAAAAATCCCGCCACTCCTAACCACACCAAAGACCTGCCTGAGTTCCCAGATTACAGCTCTATTTCCTTGTGTACCACATGATGATGCAAAGGTGCTCTCTAAGGCCCAGAATGGGGTTTAATGAAGTGATTAGTGAGGGAATGGTCTACTCATGTGACAGATGTTTATAATGAGTCAGCAGACTTAGGCCAGTCCCTCAGGACAGATGTTGAGATCATCAAACCACCACATTGCTTAGAATCCTTCTTATCCATTACTATAGAAAAGCAGATGACTGCCTATGCTGTAGACATCCATCTGCCCTCAAAGCCACTTCAACTCTGGTGCTGCTGACTGAGAATGAAGATCTGAGAATGTGAGCAAGGGGTTCTATTTCTATAGGATTAGTTATCAATTAAAGGGGGAATGTTCCCGTTCCCAGAAGAAGCAAACCAGTCCTAGTAAAATCAACGCAAAAGAAGGGCCAGAGTCTAGGTTGCACTGGAGTTTGGTTAGCCCCCATTTCTAATATATTTGCATGTGAACAATCCAATGAAATGATGATATTCACCTGAGTGTAGCAATGCCAGGATTTTAAATGTGCCTGGGCTCTGATGCAAGGATTTCTAAACAATTGTCCAAGTGTAAATTGAGATTCATTCTCAAAAAAAAAAAAAAGAAAGAAAGAAAGAAAAGAAAAGAAAGAAAGAAAGAAAAAGAAAACGTGTTTGGTTTTGGGGGCAGATGTGGAAAAAAGTCATCTTGCAACTGAGCTATACTCTGCCAACACTGTGGTACTTAGGTCTATCGGGGTTTTAAAATAAATACTAACCATGTTTTTAAATAAATAAATGTAAATGTTTTAAAAAGAATCTATAGAGGTTTTGGAGCTGGGAAGTGCTTGCTATACAAGCATGTGGACCTGAAGTCAATCCTCTGAAGACACCTGCATATACCTGAGGTACAGGATCACACTCTGAGAGCAGGGAGGCAGAAACACAAGGGGCTCCGAGACTGGTTGATTAGCATGTCTAGCCAAATTGGAGATCCCCAGACTGATGAGAGACCCTGTATCAACAAACACGGTAAACAGCTGCTAAAGAATGGACCAAGGTTGTCCTCTAACCCGTGTGTGCATGTATATACATACATGTGCACATGCATATCACACACACACATTTATAGATATTTTTGTAGTTGAGGACAAAAACTTCAAATTTTTATTAACAGTGTCATCTATTAATTGAAGTGGAAAACAATATACCTGTTTTAGCTTAGGCAGTAGAAATAGCTTTGCAGGAAATTCTGTTTGTTGCTTCCTTGTGATTTAGACTGTTCTTTTTATCTTTGGAAGCTAACAGATATATTGAATAACTTACTAGATTTCTCTTAATTATATTGGCATACCGATATAATCATATACATGTGGTTTGATGTCTTTGTAGGATGGATACATAAAATAGGGATGTTCACGCTAATCCTGGCTGGTGTTCCCAGATGATGGGATCAATTTATAGCAGCAGACTCCCATATTGTGTAAATCTAGTGACCCCCATACTTGTTGGTCTCTGGAGTAATACATTAAAGATGGATACATTTTGATCATTTTGTTTTTCAATTTAACTTCAACCATACTTGTACACTTGTACATCAATTTCTCTCTCCTTTCTTTTCTTCTCCTCTGTGTCTAGATGATGAATTAAAGAAAACACACCCAAATGTTCATTATCATTATCAGAATTTCTTGACTCCTGAGGTCCATTGGCTTTCTGGGCCTTTCAATAAAAACAGTATAAATGGCTTCTGGAGTGGCTTATCACTAATTTTGACAATGACCAGGATTAATCCAATGCAAAAGTATAATGTGTAGACCTCTATTATGTTAAGTGTAATAGCATTCTGGAGATATTTTGTTTCTTAAGAGTTAAAATATGGAAGCTGGAGAGATGACTCAGTGGTTAGAAACAGCGGCTGTACTTCTAGAGGATCTAAGTTCAATTCTTATCAACCACATGTTGGTTCACACCATCTATTACTCCAGACCCAGGAAATCCATACCCTCAACTGGCCTGTTGTGGCACCCAAGCATGCAAGTCATACACAGACATACATGTAGGCGAAACGCCCATCCACATAAAAAGAATTTTTAAAAAAGATAAAATATTTTTTAAATGTGTAAAGAATTAAAATATGAAACAAATGGCACGTAGAGCGTTGAGATCAAGACGCGTTTAAGAACACCTTTGAGTCTGCTTGTCTCAGTAGCACCTCCCTGTTGGAGAGTGCTTTCCCCTTTGCTGGGATATACAGAGCTGCAGGCCTTCCTCCTGTATCTCTTTCCAGGTCCTGCTGATTCGTTCCTTTGTGCTGCACAGACACAGGTCTGGAGCAGGGACCTGAAAGGAGAGAGGCAGAACTCATTTGCATAAGCTCTTTCACCACCCAGTTTCCTGTGCAGCCTTTGGCTGGAGCTGGGAGGCCCTTTTGCAAGGGTGTTAGGTCTAACCCTACAAATCACTTGGTCTGAGTACTGAAGCCTTTGCATCGGCCCTGAAGTGCGTTCATGGCCCAGAGCTTTAACTGTTTAAGTAAATCTCGGCTAGCCACCGGTCAGCTTGTTTGGCTGAACTTTACTATTTTGCTTCCACTTTGTTTTTCTTAATTGTCTCATTTCCTATGCCAACACTGAACATTCCAACTCTCCTGCAGTATAAATTCACCCACTATGCCCAACACCCATTCTCGTTGTCCTCTCGAGGACAAAGGTTTGGGAGGCAGCAACGGCTTCAAGTGAACCGGACAAGTAGTACATACTCAGAAAGCTCAGTGGTCATGTGGATGTGGTTGAGATCAGTGTCAATACACACACACACACACACACACACACACACACACACACACACACACACACTGCAGGGGGATATCTTGGAAGTCTCAACATTATGCTTCATTATTTACACAAGTAGATGATAACCACTCTAACCATTGAGCCCTTGAGGGTGTGGGGATCATTCCCTCCTGTTCCAAAGCAAGCCCGAGCTGATGTTTTGTTCTGTGTGGAAACTTTGAGACATGTTTTCTGAAGAAAGAAAAAAAATAGCTTTCAAATACATAGGACTTAGGGAATCATTCAACGGGCAGCTGTGAAGTTGGTCTAATGTTTACCCTGACATGAGTCCTTTTAGTCTGTGCATTATGCTCTCTGTTCCTAGAAGCCTTGAATCATCAGGATAGGGTTAGTCTTTACAAGTCTCATTTTCTGTGAAGTGGCCATTGGGGACAATCTGCTGTCAGATAAATGCTTCCAAAGAAAGAATTGCTGTTTAAATAGATGTGCCTACGTTTGCCACGGAAGTCCAAGCTTCTGCTAATTTGAAAAAGGAGCCCTCTAGTAATCTCCCTAAAGAAAGCAAAAACAGGAGTCTTTCAGATTTATTTTAAATCCATCTTTTTTGTATTTATTTAAAGACATCTTGTTCACGAAGAAGCAGTAATACAGCTATGGGGAGTAGTGTTGTTTCATTATACCTTTTATGGCCTATTAATTTGTTACCATCTATTCCCTTTTGTTGATAAAATTTTAATTTTGCCCTTGCTTGAGCATGTTGTAAGAATTGTATCCACTGCTGCTCCAAGCTGACAAAAAGTCCTTTTAGAGAGAACAATGGGGAGTGCGTTTTATCTCTAGAGCACATTTAAAATAACTTATGAATGAGAGTTGTCAGACATGAAATGCTGTATTAATTAAATCTTTTTTTTTTCAGTCTCCTTGCTTCTCTGACTAAACCAACCCTTTAGAAAAATACAGGGCCACCTTCATTACAGGGGAGAAGACAAAAAGTACCCTTCACATTCCTCTGCCTGAATAAGGATAAGAACTCAATTCAGTCCCCGTAATAACCCCATTAGCTGCTTAACTCAACAGTGCACATGGGAAAATTTTCCAACCACAATGTAGAAGTGTTGACTGGATGGGATCATTGTCACAGCTTTGTTCTTTTAATGTTCAAAATGATCATTTTAAGTAAATTTGATATGCCATAACTAGTAGCTTTAGAGCAGTCATGACTTACAGCAAAGAATTCAAATCTGTATCCACTAATGCATTTTGTCTTTTCAAACCTAGCAACAGTACCATTCAAAAATAGATGATTTGATTGACAACACTGTGAAAGAAATCATTGCACTGCTAGTTTCAAAGGTAATGTATCATTTTTTCACTTTGCAAGTAAAATTAAGAAATAATCTTTGAGGGAGAATTTTTAGACATATCTCATATGTTTCTAAATGTCTAACTGTGAAATTATAATTTAAAAAATAAATGTGGATTAGGTGTGACTTAGTGGCAGAATGTCTGCATGGCATGCACAAGACCCAGGAATCACACACACACACACACACACACACACACACACACAGCAAAGTTGTTAACAAAAACTTCAAACAATAAAATGAACACTATGACACCAATCACCAATGTGGGGATTGCTTTGTTTGATTGATTATGTGAAGAAATTTGCAAGTGTTTTCCTTTGAAGAAACAATGCTTCTTTTCAGGAACCCCTTATTGTGACCCATTCATGCTCTCTGTTTTACTTCCAGAGCAGATTCTGAGTACCCTCAGTCTTTGAACTTAGCCTGTTTTTTGTAGTGACATCCCTTGGGCTTGAGATCTAGCCTCAAACACAGACAAAGCTGCCAGGGTCATATCAGAACTTCACAAATTTCTGCTCTGTGTTTGATAAATGCAATGCCATTTCATTGTATACATGAAAATCAAGAGGAAATGACTTTGCCATTTAGCAATTATGTGATTTAGATGCTACTAAGGCATAACAGATGGCCACAGGTAGCATTTGTGAGGACCAGGCATGTTCAGAGATGTCATTTGAAAGCAAAAGCTTACTGTGGAAGAGATGCTGTCAGCACTAAGAACTCAAAAGAGTTTGAGAAGTCATTAGCTAATGGATTCAAGGTCCCAGGTACACGAGATGGATAAGGACTTTACATTGAGAGCAATTATATTTGTGATTATTGAACCATATTATTCAAAACACTTGGAAGAGACAAACTTATAATGCTCTCATTAGGAAGAGGAGATGATGGGAAAATTAAGTATCCTGTGTTGACAGCACACAGTGTATAAATGTACCAAAATATTATATGCCCTGTAAAGATGCACAGATACAGCATGACTTTTAAATGGTGTAGAAAGAAAATGGATATTCTTTAAGTAGAATTTTGACAAGCAGTTGCAGCTAGTCCTTCAATGCTTTATATCAAAGAAGTTCAGAACAGGTTTCATAATGTATTCACTGCAAAGAAAAAGCAACGCCAATTTTCTAGGCAGGTGATACTCTGTGTAGATAACAATTTAAGAATATTAATCTTCGCTGGACATGGTGACATATGCCTTTAATCCCAGCACTTGGGTGACAGAGGCAGGCAGAGCTCTATGAGTTTGCGGCCAGACTGGTGAGTTCCAGGACAGCCACAACTGTTATACAGAGAAACTGCCTCAAAAAAATCTTCATTAATAATTTAAGGAGTGCAGATACCAGCTTTTCCAATGAATGAGCTTAGATGATTTTAAGTTAACACTGTTGAAAAACATGAAATGAGCCACTCAAGTTTCATATATTCAGGATCTAAATTGTCAGTGTGTCTGGAAGACACTTCAGAAACACCAAACACATTAATATACCTTTGCCTTTCTGCATATTTCACAGTAGTCAGAGATACACACATTATACCCATTCTGACTTTTGTTATGTCAGACATCTATGTTAGCCTATGATTTGGGGAATCATAATTACAAAGTATGTTTTAAAAGACAGCAACAAATGGATAAAAGAGAAAATCTTAGAATGGTGAAGTATGATCTGGATTCTCATTACCTGGGAACTACACTATTAAGAATGGTAACCCAATGTTAATGGAGGCTATGCTGGGTAGTGAGATTCTAATTGATGTCTTCTGTGGTTTCGTTTGTGAAATGTTTCTGGTCAAAGGTTTGGGGTAGAAAACAATCATGAAGAAAAATGGTTTTAGTACACTATTGCCTTGTATCCATTGCTTTTCTTGTTGTCTGATCATATCCAGGAGGAAAAGAATTCAAGGGAAGAGGGGTCTCTCTGAGCTGACAGTTTCAGAGACTACAGTTTATCATGTTCAGGGACATGCAGGGTCACACTCTATCTGCAATCAGGAAGCAGGGCAAGAATCCCTTGAATTTCCTTCATTCTTCCACACTGTTCCCTTTCAGTACTCTGATTGGATACTACTTTCAGATGACTTGGGCTTCTTGTTTGTTTGTTTGTTTGTTTTATATTTATTTCTGTCAATTCAGCCTTTATAGACTTCTATCACAGAGATTCTTATTATTTCTGTCTCCTTATTAAACTTGTTATTTATGTATTTTCCTGATTCACCTAGCTCCTATGTTTTCATATAGTGCTTTGTTAATATACTTTATTATTTCAGAATTTTATACATGTATACACTGTACTTTGATCATATTCACATCAAAGTCCTCCCCATAACTCCTCCCAGGCCCACCCCAGATCCACTCCTCATTCACACAATTTTGTGTCCTTTTTTTTATTTAATAACCCACCAAATTCAGTTTGTGTGACCCATATACTTATGATTATGAGACCATCCGGTGGAGCACAGTAGATCCGCCAGAAGCCACACCCTTAAGGAAAACTGAGTCTCACTCCCCTAGATGCAATCAATTGTCAATAGGTCTTTACCAAGCTGTATGGGCTCATGTGCCTCTCCTACTCCAAGCTTGAATGCTGACTAAATTGAACTTGGGTAGCTCTTGTGCAGATAACCACAGCTTCTGTGAGTTCATGCATTTAGTAATCCCATCATACATATCCAGGAGATTTTTTTTCTGCCGTAGTCCTCTCCAATCTCTGGCTCTAACCATCTTTATTCTCCTCTTCTAAGATGGTCCCATTTGTGGCTGAGTACTCTACAGTTACTTATTCAATACCCATTGACTTGAAATGAATTTCTGCATTGACTACCTATCACTGTACAAAAATACAACACAACTTGTCTATTATGGCCTAGAATCTCCACTAACCTATGGGCGTAAGAATATGCTTAGAGGGCAGGCTGAAGCTATGTCCATTTAACAAAATAATAGTAGTAGATTCACCCCCGGAGCCATGGATTCTTGGCTAGAGTCACAGCGCCAGGCATGTATTTCTCCCGTGAAACAGGCCTTAAATTCACTCTGAAAGAAGTTGGTTACTCCCATAACATTTCTGCCACTGTTGAAGCATTGGGCATGCCTTGTCACACTGGCTGTTATTTGGGTTCACAGGGTTCACAGCTGTGTAAGACTGTTGATGACCTTTCCCCCCTCACTGGCCTGAATAGCACCTTCCAGTGAGAAAGCCAGTCACCAGCAGGGAGGAAGCTTCCTGATCATTACCACCTTGATTCCTTCATGTCCTCTAACCAAAGTGTATAGTGTCTGCAGCAATGAGGTCTCAGTGAGCTTCTTGACGGTGACTGCTGTGGATTCTGTGTCAGACACTTGCTGTACCTCCATTTCTTCAGGCTTGATAGAGGTTTATTTCTGTGGTTGTGTGAACCTTCTCTGATTTCATAACCCATATGCTGGTGCCCATCCATTTGAACAATCGATTGCTTCTTCCAGTATTTACAAATCATCTTTAGAAAGAAACACCTTTCATCAGTCACCGTGGGAACAGATTTTGTTTGAGCCAACTGACATGGTCTCCAAGTGGGCCAGCTGCCAGGGGCTGAGGAGTGGATAAATGGTGGGCTTATTCATTAAGGAAAGAAAATATTTTTATTCAACAGTTCTTAGATGTCAACATGCCAGAAAATTACTTGTGATCTGCTAAAAATCCATTGTACAATGCCTGAGTCTCCAGTGACTCTAAATGAGACATCGGGGAAGAGGAAAAGGGTCCATATTTAATACAAGCATTCCTTCTTCTATTCCAAGAAGTGGTTGGAGATGTGTTGCTGTTTGTTCCCCCTTTAAAAGTCTGGTAGAATTAGACTGTGAATTCATTATGCCCCAGGCTTGTCTTTGTTTCATTTAGTTTTGCTTTTATGACAGTTTCAGCTCATTGTTTATTGTTGTGTTTATATCCTTTTGCTTCAATTTAGGTAGTTATGTCTAGGAATTTGGACATGTGTTAAATATTTTTCAGTTTGCTGCAGTTTAAGTTTTCAAATATTCTTAAATGATGGGCTGGAGAGGTGGCTCAGCAGTTAAGAGTACTGGGTGATCTTCCAGAGGACTTAGGTTTGATTCCCAGTACCCACCTGGCAGCTCACAGCTGCTTGTAACTTGAGTTCCAGGGATATGATGCCCTCTTCTGGTCTCCTCAAGCACTAGGCTTGCATGTGGTATACAGATACACATGTGGGCAAAACACCTGTACACATGAAATACATAATAATTTTTAAATACACTCCTTAATAGACCTATTGATGTCTGTAGTCTCAGTCTCTCTCTCCCCCTCCCCCTCCCTCTCCTCTACCTCTCTCTCTTTCCTGTTTATTTATCTGAGTCTTTTCTCTCTTTTAGTTAGTTTGGCTAAGGGTTCATCAATCATATATTTTTTTAAATAACCAACTCTTTGTTTCATTGATCTCCATTTTATTCTTTTGTATCAGCATTATTTGATTCTGTATTTTTTATTTATATCTGCTAATTACAGGTTTAGTTGTTTTGCTGAGACCTTGATTTGCATTGTTAATTTATTTTTTTAATGTAGGCACTCAAAGCTATAAGCTTCCCTCCATTGTTGTATCTCACGGTTTCTGGGTTCCCATTTTTGTATTTTTAAAATTTTATTAGTGTTTATAACAATGTATGTCTTTGTGTGGGTATGTAGGAGACTACAAAGGCTAGAAACATCAGATGCCCATGTTCTGGTGATGAACTACCTGACATGAGTGCTGGAAACTTACTCTGTAGACCAGGATGACCTGAACTAATAGAGATCAACCTGCCTCTGCCTCCCCTGTGCTGGGATCAGCGGTATGCACCATCACTACCAGGCTAATGCACATAATCTTAGGACAGAAGAGCTTATGCTTTAAGTACTATTTAAATATTAATTCATGTTACTATTGTTGCCCTTGGTTTTGCCTACAAGCCCATATTTCCAGTGGCCTCCTGTCTACCTCCATGAGTCAGTT